ATCCTGTACCATCCTCACACTTCCTAACACGTAAGAGCCCATTGCAGCAGTCACCATGTCAATCCACCTGGTAGAGGGTCTTCCTCTCATTCGCCAACCCTCCATCCTTCCGAACATCATGTCCTTCTACAAGGCATAGCACCTCCTAGCAACATGCCCAAAGTATGTGAGGCGAAACCTCATCTATCATTCTTGCCTCCAAAGAGCACTCTGGCTGCACCCTCTCCAAGACATACTTGTTCTTTTTCTTGGCTGTCCCTGGATATTCATGGGGCCACTTGATAATATGCCCAATGTATGCGAGATGAAGTTTCCCCATCCTTGCCTCTAAGGGGCACCCTGGCAGCACTTCTGCCAGGACAGATTTGGTTTATCTTCAGGCAATCCATGGGGCATTAAATACTCTTCACAGATGTCACAATTCAAAGGCATCAGTTCCATTTTCTTTATTCATTGTCTAAATTGCAGGTGCATGGAAAGCAATTGAAAATACACATTCATTTTAAAACTGACATCTGTATTCTTTAGCACTGTAAAGAGATTCCTGATGGCAGATTTTCCCAGTAGGACATGTTTTGTGTTTTGGTTTTTTTGTTTGTTTGTTTTAAATTTATTGTCTACTGGTAGCAATAGTGCCAGAAGAACAAATCTGTCTTGGAGATTGTGCAGCCATTGTGCTCTTTGGAAGTGAGGATAGTGAAGTTTCATCTCACATACCTTGGGCACATTGTTAGGAGAGACTAGTCCTTGGAGAAGGACATCGTAGGTGAAAAGGAGGAGGGTCCGTGAAAAGGAGAGTAGGGCCCTCAACAAGATGGATTGACAGACATGGTGACTGTAGCTCAAGTATGTCAGAGATGGTGAGGATGGCACAAACTAGGGCAGGATTGAGATCCGTTGTTCATAGGGTCGCTGTGAGTCACAGTCAACTCGATGGCATGTAACAGTAGCTACTACGGGTGCTGATTGTGTGACCAAGTAGAATCAACTGCTTGACAGCTTCAGTCTTTTCTCCATCTCTCATGATGTGGGCTCTGGATGCAACTGTGAGGATTTTTGTTTTCTTGAATCCAAGGTCCATCTATTGAGTCACTATGCATTGTAATGGATTTTGGTGGATGTCATTTAGGTACTGCTGAGCATCTTACTTTCATATAAGACTGACTGCTGTCATGGTGATTGTGATTGATAGTGACCAGATAGGACAGATTATCTAAGGCTGTAATCTTTACAGAAACAAACTACCAAATCTGGTAGGCTTAAATCATTGACCTTTTGATCAGCATCCAGTATTTAGCCACTGGGGCACCAGGGATCATTAGTTTCATATGTTGTTAGGTGCCATTGAGTCAGAACCGACCCATAGGTGACCTTCAAGTGTGTTTTCAGAGGCAGTAAATTGCGCGAGAGGAGATTGCCCATCTTTTTCCTGTAGAACAGTGGATTTGAACTTCACGTCTTTGGGTTAGCAGCAGAAAGTTCGACAGTGAATAAAGATGACAGCAGAACCGATGCCGTGTGGTGTTGGGGAAGAGAACGGAATATCCCAAGAACTGCCAAAAGAACAAACAAATATGTCCTGGAGAAAGTGTAACCAGGGTGCTCCTTAGAGGCAAAGATGGTGAAACTTCGTCTCACAAACTTTGAGCATATTGTTAGGAGGGGTCGAGATGCTTGGAAAGGTGGAGGGTCAAGAAAAGACAGGAAGACCTTCAGTAATGTGGATTGACACAGTGACTGCAGCATGGCCTCCAGTGTGTCAGAGATGACAGGGAAGGTGCAGGATAGGGCAGATCTGTTGTTCACAGGGGCGCTATGAGTCGTAATGGACTCAGTGGCACCTCACAGCAGTGATTTCCTACTCGTCTCCCACCGTAGCCATATTTTTCCCCTTTTTTATAACAGTGATGATCTTATACACTATTGTCCTTTTGTGACTAACTTATTTCACTCAGCAGAAGGTCCTCTAGCCTCTTCTATTGTGTAGAGTTTCACCAGTTCGTCATTGCTTTTCCATGTCAAGTAATACTTCGTTGTGTGAATGTACCACAGTTTTTCTACCCATTTGTTGGTTGATGGGCACTTGGGCTACTTCTGTGTTTGTGCTATTGTGAATAATGCTGCAGTAACAAGAATGTGCATCTATCTGCTTGTGTTGCTGCTCTGATTTCTGAACAGTGTATTTCTAATGGTTGAACACCTAGATCAAATACACTTCTGTTTTCACTTTTTTTTTTTTTTAGGAAAGGCCAAACTGTCTACCATCGTGATTGCACCTTTTTACATTCCTATCAGTCATGTATGAAAGTTCCAATTCTTCTACATCCTCACCATCATTTGTTATTTGCTTTCGTATTGAACATTGATTCTGTCGCTAGAGTGAGATGGTATCTCATTGTTATTTCAAGATATCTCTCTAATAGTGATTTTGAGAATTTCTTCATGTGGGTTTGTTTTGGTGTTTGGGGGTTTTGTTTTGTTTTTCCATTTGAAAGGTTTGCACACAGAATCCTGCAAGGTTGACCAACATGGGAGAAGGGAGCAGAGATTAGCTAATAGATGAGTAAAATGAACGGAAAGGCAGTGTAGAGTGAGGATTTGATGAGATGCTGTAATAAATGGCACTGATCAATTGTGATTAATATTATATAACAAAATGTATATGAATAATTGAATGAAAATGAATTTTCTTAAATTTACATCTTGTTATTGTTAAAAATAAAATGTTCATTTGTTATTGGAACTGGTTGCACAACTTCTGTAATTTTATAATTTTCTTCTAATCATGATAAGTATGTCTATTCAGTTGTTTAAGATGGGAACCTTGCCTGAAGATTTTATAATCTAGTTATCTAATTGGGATAACAAGACAAACTAATAATTATATGAGGTGTTAGACGCTTATGTGCTGAGTGGCACAGGTAGTACATGAACCTCAAGTTCCCGAGGCCTCAGACAATGATGTGAATCCCGGTGTAGTCCCCTACACAGAAGAAAAGTCTGGACCTTGGACCTGCAATCTAAGGCACCAACAATAGATCCGATAGAAAGGTTTTACTTGGTAAACTGGGAGTTAGAGGGAGCAAAGGATCTGTGAGATGGTCAGATAATTAGTGACTGGTTATAAATTTGCTGGCACAGTTTGTTCTAGTTCTGTGAATTTTGTTAATATTTAGTTTTGTTGTTGAGAATATAGAGAAGAGATCATACACCAGTTCAACAATTTCTGCACGTACAAGTCCATGACATTGATTCTATTTTCTGAGTTCTATAACCATATCCACCCTCGTTTTCTGAGTTATTCCTCCATTAAAGGGAATTCATTGCCTTCTCTCTCTCCAGACTTTCAAGTTACTATTGTCAGTCTGATGCCATACAGACAGATCTTAAAAGATAACAATGCTGAAGGCAGCCATTATTCACTGTTGTTGTTGTTGATTGTCGTTGAGTACGACTCAAAGCGACCCTATGAACAAAAGACCTGAAGCCTGTCTATAACTACCATCATTTCTCCAAGTTCATAGAGTTTACAGGGACATATGGTTTAGGAAGTGGATGCCACTCCTACTTTCTTAAACTGGAAGCTCCAGCAAACACTGTTCACCATGCGCAACCATTATATCATTTGATCCCCCCACCCCCCAACTGCACAAGGTTCAGCATCACAGCAAACCCAGATTACCTAATACAGCAAATTGACATAAGAGTGCTGTACCACTTAGAAGAATGTTCCTCCAAAATACATTAACAGTAGGCTCTCTGGCCTGCAGCCACTAGGCTCAATCGACTTTTAAATACAAGGGCACTCCACAGTTTTTGTTGACTCTAAATAAGAGGTTTAAATAAAAACTAAACCAAAACCAAACCAAAAACCAACCAAACATTCCACATAACCCTCATCTAAAACAAGAGTGCAGAGCTTACAGAGTCCAGCCACATCACCCAGTCTCCAAAATGAAGACAAGAGCCTGGCTTTAAATGCCAGGACACTCCATGAGGTCTTGTTGGCTCTCCACTGTTGTTGTTGTTATGTGCTGTCGAGTCGTAGATGACTCTGTGTACGAAAGTCCTGAGCACTGTTCATGGACTTTCCGGAGGCAAGCCATTTCAGAAGTGGATACCACTCCTACTTCCAGGCTATACAATAGGCACGCTAAATAATGGCTTAGTTTTAAGAAGTAATTGAAGCTGGGAACCATCTAGTTCTTTTTGTCTCCTGTGAAGGAGGCATTTGTTCATGGAAGTAATTAATTTCCTACTCTGTGTTCCCTCTAGTCCTGACTACTTATTCCTGTGTTGCTGGAGGCATGTCTAGACCATTCTTATGTCTTTAGTGACTGCTTACTAGCCTTGAAAGACTCCTGGCACTATGAGGTAGAAGAAACTTTAACATGGTATTAGGCAAATTTACTGGGATAGCTCATGAAACCATGACCTCAAACTTCTAAATCAAGGAATCAAATATCTTGAAGTGCTTACTTATACATAAACATCTACTTTCCCTTACTCCTTCATTATTGTAAATGTAGTCTTACACCATTTTTTTGAAATTCTGGCTTACAATTCCATGAGCATTATTGGGCCCTGGACCACAGGGTGCTGCATCAACACAATGACCTTAACAATGGACGTGGGTATGTCCGAGATCCCGACGATGACACAGGATAGGGCAGGGTTCTGATCTGTTGTTTATAGATTCATAACCCAGCAAGGGCTCTGTTGTTGTTAGGTGCTGTCAAGTGGAAACCAACTCGTAGCTGACCCTCCAGTGAGTTTCAGAGGCAGTAATAGCAGAGGAGGAGATTTCCTATTGCCATGTTTCTCCCTTGGAGCAGCTGATTAGATTTGAACCCTGTGCCTTTGGGTTGGCACTGGTCACCAGAGCTCCCCAAGAGATGCTCTAAGAGATGGGGTGGAGGGGAAGACACAAAGGTCTTCTGTCCTTCAGGAATTCTCTCATCACTTAGGGTTATTGATTTATCTTTATTTTGCAGGAAAAGAATAAGCAGATCATTGTACTGGGCCTGGATGGAGCAGGAAAAACCAGTATCCTTCACTCTCTAGCTTCAAACAAAGTCCAGCACAGTGTGGCGCCCACCAAAGGTTTCAATGAAGTGTGCATCAACACTGAAGACCACCGGATGGAGTTCCTGGAGAGTAAGCCTGCGTTTATAGAATAGCTGTGTTTTGTTATATCTCAAGCCCAATATGATGCCGTCAGTATTGGATCCTTGTGGGGGAAAAAATTCCCAAAACACTAGATCTTATTTTCCTAGACTTTTAAATATATGTACAGTTTAATACATTTGACAAGAGGCCTTTCCTATAATTTCCACAAGCCTCTTTCCTCTCACATGACCTCAAATAAACAAGCAATTTAAATAAATACAGGGTGCTTCCTCGCCTGCAAATACAGCTTTACACAAATCCCAAACCTCATATTATAATAGTATGGCACCCCAGAAACTCCGATTACATAGACATTTAAGAGCTCCCACCTCTCTAAATATTGTTATTTTCTGGAGTTAGAGAAACATTACCATCTCTTCCTAGACAATCTCATTTATTCTCACAGCCATTAAAAAGTGTGAAAAGGGGCTTGTTGAGCTAAGCAGAGATTGTGAGGATGACACTGACAGTACAAAGTTTTGATCTGTTGTTAAAAGGATCAGTCTGACTTACAGTTGACTCAACAGCACTTAATAACTGTTGTTGCTATTGTTATGTGCCATTGAGTTGCCTGCAACCCATAGACTTTGTATGCTTCTATATACAGCAGCTCTGAACCTGCCCTGTCCTGAGCCAGTTTCACTAATTCCAACACACCAACCCCCACTGCCCCAGTCTCTGCATCAATCCATCTCATCCAGGGTCTTCCTCTCCTGTGCTGTTCCTCCACCCTTCCAAGCATGATGCTCCAAGGACCCATTCCTCCTAGCCATGTGCCCAGAGTAACTGAGACAGAGCTTCAAAACCCTAGCCTTCAAGGAGAAACTTGGTTTCACCCGCTCCAAGACAGACCTATTTGTTTTCTTGGCAGTCCATGGTATGTATACTCAAGACTCTTCCAGGACCACAACTCAAAGGCATCAGTTCTTCTTGTCATCCTTAGTCATTGTCCAGCTCTCTGATAATATAGCAAGCAATTGTGAAGACCATGGACTGCATCTTGTACACCTTAGTCTCATTGCTTCTCAGTACAGATTTTCCCAATGCAATTCGTCTTTTGATTTCCTGACTGCTGGTGTTGAGGGTTGATTGTGGAACAGAGCAAGCTGTAATTGTTAACAACCTTAATCTCTTCTCCATCTACCATGGTGCTGCAAATTGGCCTTATTTTTAAGAATCTTTGTCTTCTTGACGTTGAGCTTCAAGTCCAAAGCTTATGTCAGAAATTCTGGGGATCCACCCACAGCCCTACAGATTTGCATAAGACAGGATATGAGACCACCCTACAATCTTCTTAATCAGGTAACACCCATTCTCCCAGAAGTCCATGGGCTTCTTTAACATCAGACTTTCAGGCCAGGGAATTCAGTCCCAAGCCTAATAACCTAACATACACTGTTGTTGTTGTTGTTGATTGCTGTTGAGTTGAGCACAACACATAGCAACCCTATAAAGAAAAGGCCTGAAGCCTTTCTATAACTATTGTCATTTATCAAAGTTCATAGAGTTTCAAGAGGCATGTTGTTTAGGAAGTGAATGCCACTTCTGCTTCCAAAATGACTCCTAAATTTATATATCCACCTCAAACATATCCAGATAATTCCACATGGTGCTAGAATAGAATTTTAGTGTAACCCTAATATCTTTTTCCCTGTGAAATACAAATCCACTCACTGGTAAATGGCTCTTCTCTTATGAAGTTGCTCAATTTTAAAGAAAGAAAAATATGAAAACTAATTTCTTTTTTTGGCATATGGAAATTCATCTCTATGACATTTTCACAAAACTTTAAAATCTTGGTTGTTTCTTCTTGCCTTTGTTTAAGGCCAAAAGAGATCCTTTGACAACCCTAAAGCAGACTCCAGGAAAGTCACCATCAACAAGAACGTTATCTTTTTACTTGATAAAATACAAGCAGCCATCATTGGACTGATTTTCTTGCTGTTCTTGATGAGATGGACTCTGACACACTTTCTAATGGCAGAATTTGGCTGCTTGGCCTCAATCTCCACTTTTTCCAACACAATTCCCTTTGCATGAGAAATGCCTCTATAGGGGTTGGCCTTGAGAGCTGTGCCCAAATAGGCTTTTTTGTACCATTTATCGTGTTACGTCAGTCAGCTATCACTGCGCAGCTTCTAGGTGGTATGAAGACCTTTACACTTGCCCATATTTGTGTGGCCATGATTCCCTGAAAAACACATTTTTAAAAAAGGATCAAATTATGGCATCAAATGGACAAAACTACTTTTGGAATGAGACATTTCTATATAATGAGCAAAGATACATAAGAGTTTGTTTTACCGGACATTATAAAATACTGCATCCACATTGAATACACATTGTTCTCAAACGTTGTTGTCATTGTTATGTGTTGTTGAGTTGCGTGAGACCCATAGCAACTGTATGTACAGCAGCTCTGAATCCTGCCCTGTCCTGAGCCAGTCTCAATAATTCCGAGTCACCAATTCTCATTGCCCCAATTACTATATCAGTCCATCTCATCCAGGGTCTTCCTCTCCTGTGCTGTCCCTTTACCCTTCTGAACATGATGTCCTTTTATAAGGATTGGTCTCTCCTGGTCAGGTGCCCAAAGTATGTGAGACGGAGCTTCAAAATCTTAGTTTCCAAGGAGAAAGTTGGTTTCACCCTCTCCAAGACCTTGTTGTTGTTGTTATGTGCTGTTGAGTTGCCTGCGACTCATAATGACCCTATGTACAACAGCCCTAAACTCTGCCTTATTCTGTGCCAGTCTCACCATCTCTGACACACCTGCCCCATTATTACCCCAGTCACCGAGTCAATCCATCTCATCCAGGGTCTTTCTTGTGCTGTCCCTCCACCCTCCCAAGCATGATGTCCTTCTCCAAGGACTGCTCCTTCCTTGCAACATGTCCAAAGTATGTCAGATGAAGCTTCACAATGCTTGCCTCCAAGGAGCAGCCTGGCTTCACCCTCTCTAGGACAAAGCTGTTCGTTTTCCTAGCAGTCCAGTGTATATTCAGTACTCTTCTCCAACACTACAGCTCAAAGGCATCAATTCTCCTTCTATCATACCTAGTCACTGTCCAGCTCTCCGATGCATAGCAAGTGATTGCAAAGACCATGGCCTGTATTAGGCACACCTTAGTCTCCAGACTGACATCTTTGCACTTCAGCACTTTAGAGAGGTCTCTAACTGCAGACTTTCCCATCTCTAAGACATACAGGAACATTTATCCAAATGGACCATACACGAGCTCAATAGCTAATCTTAACACATTGAAAAGAAAGAGCAAATAAACCTTGTTCTGGCTTCTTTATGGTTAAATTGGAAGTGAATAACCAAAAGATAAACTTAAATTGCCTGTGTAATTGAAATCTCATGTGTCTGCAAGCCTACATTCAGATCATCAGCAAAAATAGCATGTGTGTAGATGGATAGAAAGATGAAACAATTGTGGTAAGAATTTAAAACAGTGGCGAACATAAGTGAGAAGTAGAGTTGTTCATTGTACTAGCCTTTCAGCTCTTCTGCCAGTGCTGGGTTGATATTTTTTTAAAAAAAATGAGTTCTGAGAATGAAAATTTCTGCATGTATTTGAGATTTTAAATATATGGTTTTGAATACTTCATAACCAAGAGGAAAAAAATTATGATGAGAAGTTTTGAAAACTCAAGATATAAAACTAGCTATCAAAACTTTGGCATGCAGCAAAAATAGAACATTTTAAGACACTTATGACTCGTAAATACTTCTATATGAGAATATTTATGGGTTAAATATATAGTTTTAATGATACAAATATTAAAAGTAAAATTCTCAAAGAAGGTAAAAGAGCAAAAAAGAAATAAATGAAATTAATTTTAAAAAAGATAATAATAGCAAAAAATCAAAGAGTGAAGTTCCCAGTTGCCATTGAATTTAACACCTAGTAACCCTACGGGAACTGCTAGTGACCGGAGTGGAATTGCTCAGTAGTGTTTCTGAGGCTGCCATCATGGCACGAAAGCTGACCACCACATTTTTCTACTGTAGAGCACCTGGTAAGTTTGAACCACTGACCTTTTAGTTTTCAGGCAAGCATTCAACCACTATGCCACTAATGCTTCTTAATCAGAGGTTCCTTGCAAATAGACAAACTTTTGATGCATTTTTTTTTAAAAAAACTAAAAAATACTAATTATACCATATATTAAAAAGCACAAAACATTAAAATAATTGTATAATATCAACAAATTTGAACTAATAAAATAAAAAAAAACAAAATGAAGTGTGGGATCATATAAAATGCTATATCTTAAGAAACTTGACTCAAAAAGAAAAAAGCCTTGAATAGTTCAAAATCACTAAAGAAATTACAGTAGTAGTGAAACATTGCCTCATAGAAGCAGTCCTCAGAATAGAGCAAGGAAACACTTCATGATTCAAAATCAAGAAAAGAGTGCGCAATATCACACACTAGCAAAATCCTGCTAACGATTTTCCAGAAAAGACGAACAGTACATTGACAGAGAACTACCAGAAATATAGGTTGGGTTTAGAAGAGGTCGTGGCTCTAGATACATTATTGCCAAGGTCAGATGGATCTTGGCAGAAAGCAGAGTACCAGAAGAATGTCTATCTGTGTTTCATTGACTACACAAAGGCACTTGACTGTGTGGATCACAATAAATTGTGGCTAACCTTGAAGAAAATGCAAATCTCAGAACACTTGATCATGCTTATATGAATCCTATACTTGAACCTTAACAGCTAGCCAAAAGGTGAGTATTTCAACATACCAAATGCTCCACAAGAGAAAGATAGAGCAGTCTGCTTCTCTAAAGGTTCTGGAAAACTTCGTCAACTTTATGAAACATTTCTCCTTTGCCTAATAGGATTGCTGTGAGTCTGAATTAGTAAGAAGACTAGATTTGTTTGTTTAGCTGTATGAGGTCGCTGGGTACAAAACCCCAAACCAGAGTATAGGTCTATCTCATTGATTAACGTAGATACAGAAATACCA